TTTGGATAAAAGGGCATTTGTACTAATTATTGGGCCTGAGATAGCTAATAGAGACATACACATAAATATATATATGTGTATATATACATATATGTATGTAAACACACACACACACATATATATACACACATATATATCAAATATATTGGAGTATCACCCAGAGTTGCTTCTGTCGGTGTGGAGGCTAAAAACAAACTCCAGTTTTTACTCTTTCATTTGTCTCTTATAAAACAAGATTTCTACCAAACCACTTCTTCATATCAAAGTTTATTCTTCTTTAGAAAGTCTTCAGGTTCATGGTAATATTCAAATCAGACGAGTCTGTCACTCAGGTAACATTATTAATAATATTAATTATTACTAACAAACGTGAGTTATTAATTGGAAGGTTTAACCTGGGCTAGTGGGAGGTGTCCCTACCCATGGCAGGGGGTGGAATGAGGTGGGCTTTAAGATCCCTTCCAGCCCAAACCATTCCATGATTCCATGTGACAGCTGCAGGCACAGAGTTGAATCCAAGGTGTGTGTGTGTTTCCAGAGCAGGGAATGAAAAGGAAGGGGGAATTACTTCACCCAGGCATTAAAAGCTTATATTCTTAACTTAGCATAAAAAGCCTCCCTGTGTCCTCATAAAGCAAAAATATCTGAATGTCCCTGAAGTCCTCTGAAGCTTCCAAGTCCATTTTATGCTGGGAATGCTGTGCTGGAGGGATTTTTCTTCTACTCTAGCTGTGGGTTGCCCTCCCCACGTGTCCAGGAGCACCTGGTTTAGTATTAGTGCATTACAGCAAGTGACTGGCTTAATGATTTTTAAATTACATATTGATTTCCTCCTTAATACCTTTCCTCCCCCCTGCTTTGTTTCCCCTCTCTGGCATTCCGTGGTGACAGTCTCAGTTCACAACATTTTTGTTCAACATTTTAATACTCTTTGCAGAGAGGTCAATATTTGTTCTCCTACCAACCTTTTTGCTAAGTAACAACCCTTTAAATCTTGGGAATGAGCTGTTTCCTCTTCAGAGCGTAAGGAAAGTGCTTGGGAAGAGGGATCATTCACACAGCTGACTAACAAATGAGTTGGCATCAAGAATATGTCTTAGTTTGCTTTTGGAGGTGCTAATGTGGATTCTCAAGACCAGCAGAATTTGAGCATCTCTCCCATCCCGGGCTTGATCCTTGATCTTTGGGCAAGGGAGGGATGTCAGGGTGTGTCTTGGCCTGTTTGATGTGTTGCCCTGTGTGAACATGGTGAAACAAAACCAAAGAAGTGGCAGATTAAGAGCATCTGTGGTGGGGAGACAGCTTTAGGGGTGTTATGCTTTTCCCTCTGTTTTGTAAATAAATATGTATTAGAAATGTAATAAATCTACAGTTAGATAAGCAGTGACACAAAGGCTGGTTTATATCTATCTCTAAGTATTTGGCTGCTGTTACCTTACTGTCAGAATACACAGCCCAGCTGTTTGAAAGGGAGATATATGGAGAATCCATTACCTAGACTTCCCATTTACATAGTTTGGTGCGTGTCTGAGGGTTAACAGGAGCCTGGATTTAGTTGAATAGGAGCCTGGATTTATGTGGCTGAAGCAGTGAGCTGTGGAAGGTTGTAAGATGCTGCAGTTTGGCCACAGGAGCACGGGGAGGATTGTGCCTCAGATTTAAAAGGTGATTTCATGACTTCTTACCACCACTTTGGGGAAGGTTTACTGCCCTATTCCTTAACCTGTGCTTAGGGATGGCACTGGTGCTGCATCCATTTCAGTGCCAAGGCAGGTTTAGAGGTGTTTTAAGCAAAAGCCATGAGGTGTAGAGTGAACTTCAGTTATTAACCAGTGCAAATGTCTTTGGTCTTTGGTTGTAACAGAAGCCCAGTACTTGCTCCAAGTGTTATATTTTTGCCCAAAGTCTTGCTGTGATGAAAACCTGAAAACTGTGTCTCTACATCTGTCCACCATGAAGTCCACTTTGATGGCAAAAATTGGATTGGAGACCTTGGAGAGAGATTATTTCCAAGGGCCCGGAGGGACAGGACAAGGGGGAATGGCTTCAAACTGACAGAGTAGGTTTAGATGGGATATTGGGAAGAAACTCTTCCCTGGGAGGGTGAGGAGGCCCTGGCACAGGTTGCCCAGAGAAGCTGTGGCTGCCCCTGGATCCCTGGAAGTGTCCAAGGGCAGGTTGGATGGGGTTTGGAGTAACCTGAGCTAGTGGAAGGTGTCCCTGCCCATGGCAGGGGATGGGGTGAGATGATCTTTAAGGTCCCTTCCCAACCCAAACCATTCTGTGATTCTTTGACTACAGGGGCACAGGATTTGGGGTGAAATGGAGTGGATCTTGACCTCTTAAGCTATTAACAGAACATACCATGTGCTTTCTTTCTATACTTTAAGAAAATCAGGTTTGGGCTGTGTTCCATCCTCAGTGATGGTGCTTTGTGCCCAAAAATCAGTAGTTTCTTCTTGTGACCTTTTTGGTACCTTAAGTGCCCGTAATATGTAAAAAGGAATTATACCAGTTGAAGGAGATGATAATATAAGAATTTCTCCTTCTCACCTCTGAAACCAGACTTTATTAGAATAAAGAAAGCATTACAGCCAAAAAACTCCCATTTCCATGTCATCTGCAATGTTTCACATGTTAAACCTTCTGCCTGCAGAAGTTCCCTTTGTGCTTCCAGCACTTAACTCCTCGTAGACATTTGGGATGAGCACAGGAGATCCTGGTCTCTCTGAGGGGCACTTACTGCAGCTGCATAGCAGAGACCTGGGATGATTCTTCTGGGGAGCTTTTATTTTGTTAAAAGTGGAAACATTTAAGCTCAAACTCTGCTATAAAAAGAATTAGTGGCTGCTTCAGGATTCTGGAGAGATGAGCCAGGAAGAAAAGCACGTGAGGCTCTTCTGGGTAGTTATGACTGAGGCATTTAGTGCTTGTTGGGTCATCTCAGTTAACATTTATGAGGCACAGTCATGCATAAAGCTTGTCTTAGAGGAAAGATAAGATAGAGAGGCAGAAGACTTTCTGTGTCCTACTTTATGCTTTGCTTTGTATTCCTTTGTATTTTGTACTGATCTGTGTATCTTGAAAACAATAGGTGTGTTAAGCAGGATGACTTCCTCATTTTCTCTAGCAGAGGATGTAGTGTATCATCTAGCAACAGATTATGCTTCCCAATACCTCAAGTCACCAATTTTCAGGCTCTAAGGCCACATAAAGGTATTCAAAGATAACAAAAGCATCCCAGAGTGAATTTCCCCACCCCCAGGGTGACCTCTTGTACTTAGGCCAAGAAAAACGATGGCTGTGGGTTTGCAGATGCACAGAGAGGGGTGGATCCAAAATACAGGGATAAATACAGATAAAAGGCTGTATTTCAGAAACTTCACCTGCTCCAGGGAGGTGATTCTAAGCGTGCAAATCATGGGAGCAAGATGCAAAAAAACCCAAGTTATCATGAGAGTGTTATTGGGTCATTATCCCCGATGGAGGATTCATAGAATCCCAGACTGGTTTGGGTTGGAAGGGACCTTAAAGCTCATCTCATCCCACCCTCTGCCATGGGCAGGGACACCTTCCAAGCCCCGTCCAACCTGGCCTTGGACACTTCTTGCAGTGGGAAGGGTCTGTATGATGTCGGTTCCTTTGCCACAGAAAAATGTTGCTCCAGAGTGGAGTTTCTGGGAGCAGAATGGAGCAAAGCTTCTTTCCCAAACACCATGTCCCTTCGAAGAGTCAGGAGAAACAAGACTGATTATGTAAACTAGACCTGGGTATTAATTTCTCAGATGAAGTAAATTATTTTCTCACAAACAGGTCAAGAAGTGAAAATTATAAGATCCAGTGCCTGTAATTCCGTGCAGGAATGCTCATGTTTGAATTTGGATGTTTTTAAAAAATGTTTTCATTTGAATGCTCTCCTAGTTAAATTGCCTAGGAGTGACTTTTTAATGTAATGTTGTCTTTGAAAGTCTGAAACTTGGAGAAAAGGCTTTTCCAGTACCTTTTGAAGACTTGGACCACAGACCTTTCACCAAACACAAGGCATGAATTTTTCAGGCATTTCTTACCTGGATTTCTGACAGCCATTTTTTGACATGTAACTGTTCATTATACTGTTGTACTCTCTGATGAGGTCTGGATGAATGTTTGAAAGGACTGTGTAATACAATGTTTAGCCAGTATCAGCACACTGAATTTGCAGTGTGCAGAGCTGTGACAGCAGGTCAGAGCATCGCTGTAGGAACTTTGTGTACCTGGAGTCACAGATTTTTAATAACCTGTGACGCTGGTTGAGCTCCTAAATGTTGGTGGCTCCTGGATCAACATGTCACTGAGAGCCACGAGCATCCAACAGTGGCATCTCCTGTGGTGCCAGCCTGGGCATTCCCACACGGCCTGGGGTTTGGGTGAGGGTGCATCTGTCCCACAGGGATGTGCCCGTGGATGTATATGTACACATATGGCTGTGCACACATCTATAGCAGGGAAAATACAGTGAAATTGGGTCTTCAAAGCTTCTTGTCATCATGATACACATCAGTCCGAAGAGCACCAGCCTGGGCTCTCCTGGGGTGTGGATGCTAATCTGACATTTTATTTCCTCTTGATTTATTGCATATTAGAGGTAACCAACACCATCAAACAACAGCAGCTTGTTCCTTTTGGAAAATGAGCAGAGCCCAGTGCTGGAGGAGCAGGTGGGGTGGAATTCTCTGTTCTGTTCACTTGTGAGACTGTGTTTTCCTGCAGAATTTCCTTCAGTTGAGCTCTCACAGGAATATTTCTGGTGAATCTTTGGCTCCTTCCCCTTGGGTGCCGGTTTTGTGTGGTGGCAATGACACTGGGAGAGCCTGGGAATGGCAGATTTCCCGAGGAGGGAGTGGGGAGAGTTCGACAAAACCATTTGTGAATGTGTCTGTAATTCTGTTTGAACTTCAGAACTAAACTCTTGGTTGTGTTTAGCAGGATATGAATGATCACTTCTCAATTGTGTTTTGCAGGATATGAATGATTACTCACCAGTATTCAGCCAGAAGCTCTACAGGGGGATGGTTGCTCCCGATGCCGTCAAGGGCACCGTTATCACCACGGTTTCAGCTGAGGATCAGGATCCCCCGGTAAGCAAAAAGGGCCTGTTAATACCCTACACCCAGGAGGGAAAAAACTTTAACTCTCCTTAGTGCCTGTACTTTCATCCACCAAGATGATGAGCAGGAGTTTCAGAGGAGTAACTCCCACATTTGCTTTGTGTCGGCCTCTCCTTTGTCGTCCTGGACAGAAGGCTGCGTTTACAAGGCCGGTTCCTGAAGCTGGAAAATCACTGATACAGCTCCCAGGGAGATTTTTGGAAAGCTCTCTATCCGACTTCACAGCGTAGATGAATAAGGGAATAGGCAGGAAGGGAGGCTGTGCCTGTCCTTGGGACAGTTCTGCAGCTCAAAGAGGAAACAAAGCACAGCTTTGTAAGGTTGTTGCTGTCTTGATTTCACAGTCACCGAGCATTTCCAGTCTGAGCCACCCAGGGCTGTGTGGAACACACACCTCACCAACCAGCCCATTCCACGTGCAGGATTTGAACCCAAGGCACTCATTTTGGGGATAAAGTTTGTTTCTATCACTGGCTTTTGTTGCTGTTCCCTGGTGGAGCTGTGGATTGACAGGACTGGGCACACGTTCCTGATTCGTTGGCTGTTCTGAAGGGGAATAGCAATCCTTGGAATCAGAGGGTGATGAACATCAGTGACCAGATGATCCACTGAGGACAAGAAAAGCCAAAGCTGTTCTGCCAGCCAGGTTTAATTTTTAATTGCTAGTGTTTGGCATATTAAGGAGAATAAGCCTGAGGGAGAATGTGCCATGCACATTAAAAGCTGGTGGCAGTGCTCTGACACAAATCAGCTAAATATGCTCTGTGGTGAGTTCTTTGCCACCCAGAGGCAGAAATGCCAGAGCAGAGTTTCTGGAAGGACAGCCCTGCTACCCCAAACACACAGAGGCAGCAAATTCCCTGCAGGTCATCCCTGTCAGTGGGGGATTCCTCACCTGGGAGGCACTTGAGGTTGTTTAGAACAGCTGAAGATCTGGAGTATTGTTTGTTTAAACTGTAGGAAAGCCAGTAACATCATCAAGTAGGCAATTAATAGTGGCTAATTAATAGTAATTAACAATTAATAGTGCTACAGGGTATTTAAGGACAGGCAGCAGAGGACAGAGGCAGTAAGGGAGCAGTAAACAAAAGAAACTGGGCAGAGGGGTCCCTTGATGGCCAGTCTTGGACAATTTTGGTGGTGGTGCCTGACTTTGAGGGGAGAAAACAGAAAGGTGATGGAGTTTCCTGCTCTCCTTCCTCTGCATCCTGTTTTGTTCATCTTAGAATCGTAGAACCACAGGATGGTTTTGGTCAGAAGGGACCTTAAAGCTCATCTGGTTCTACCTCCTGCCATGAGCAGGGACACCTTCCGCTAGCCCAGGTTGCTCCAAGCCCTGGCCAACCTGGTCAGTCTTGGTAGGAAAAGCCTTTCCATGGGATGTTAAGAGGCCTGTGCTCCCTTTCTCTCCACTGGTGGAAGGATTAAACCTTTAGCTCTATTTCCATGTAAAATATCCTCGCTCCAGGGAAGGAGGTTGGCCAGAGTTCCTGACAAACTTGAGGTGTATCTGCAGGTGTTGGGAGTCTTAAAAGCCTGGAAGTTGCTATAAAGGTGACAAGCTGCAGCACCTGTGAGGATTTGTTGTGGCTGCCCCTGGATCCCTGGAAGTGTCCAAGGCCAGGTTGGACGGGGCTTGGAGCAACCTGGGCTGGTGGAAGGTGTCCCTGCCCATGGCAGGGGTGGGACCAGCCTTGGACACTTCAGGGATGGGGATTTGCTCTTGGCAAGTTTATCCAACTGTCCTGTGAGAAAATCCTGCAGAAAAGGATGTTAAGGATCAATAAAACCAGGCAAGAAGATGAATTTCTAGACCATGGAAATTGCAACCTAAGTGGGGAGAGAAAGTAAATAGTTGTTCTTTGGGGTTAGGAAGCTGGTTTTAAGTTGGTCTTTTGTGCAGCTTTTATTTAACATTATCTGTTGCTTTACAACAAGAGATTTTGGGTTCTATTTGCACATTCTGATAGAAGCTCCATTTTATAATCCCTGGATTTAACATGTCTAAATTTTGAAGACTGAGTTCTTGGAGGAAACAAAATATTCTGAAACTGATGAATGTATACTTATAATTCTTAGTCCTGTGCAATCAACATTTCCAATACAAAGTTACTTCACTTTTTCATTTTAAACCTCTTTCCTCTTCTATATTTCTCTCACTATCACATGAACACTTGTTGCATTTGTTTGATTTTTATGAAGATTTAAAAACGAAGCTGCCCTGAAGCATTTAATGAAAGCAATAGCCATAAAAGTCAGCCAGCTATGGAGGAAAGCTTTTAGAACAGGTTTTCAGAGGGTTTTTTATTTCAAACTAATGGCTGATAGTTTTGTCTCTCATCTTTTTTATTTTAAAAGTAAGAATTATCGGGCATAAACAGCTTTGTTTCTTTTTCTGCCTGAGCCAACCTGTTTAGATGCTTTGTGCTCCTGGAAAATCTCTGTTTATTTGGAGCTGGCTTTGACATTAAAAGGTGTCACAAAGTATTTGATATGAATTCTCCAGAAATTGGTTTTAAAAACACACAGCCTTTTCTCTGTTCACCAAAGGACCTTCCTCTAAACTTGCCTTAAGGGATAGAATATTTTTAGCTATCATCAATATTTTACTTCTGTGGATTGGGTTTTTTAACCTATTGGAATCTTATTTGCAGAGCACTAACACATCTATTTTATCAGTTCAGGAAAAGAAATAGTTGTCTATTAAAAAAATAATTGTGGCTTTAAAGTACACCTGATTATCAGGGCAGGTCTAATAAGAGCCTCACTAATTTGAGGTATCCAAGCCTGATTTTTTCACTTCTTATTTTGCAAGCAATGTAATCTATTCCCATATCCACATTAAACTCGGCCCAGGATAAAAGTCCAGCCAGATTTTTCCATCATCTGCAATAAAAGCTTTTCAGAACTAATCAGCTCTTCAGAGACTCCCACTGTCTTAGTAAATCCCAGCTTGGCTCCTCATTGTCAAATTAACATGGATGCTGTGAGAATCCGAATGGAAATGCTCAGCACCTGCACGGGATTGCTCTGCAGCCAAGGCAAATCGGAATTTTCCAAGAGCAAAAGAGCAGGTTTGGGGTGAGAAGGACGTGTCAATGTTGTCAGTGGAGGTTGGCTCTTCATTTCAAACAAACAAATAGTGGTTTAGGTGAAAGATAAGAGGGTGAAAAACACCTGGGATGTAATTTTCTGTGTGGATTTCCTAAATTATTTAGAAACCTACTGCATATGGAGGTGTGGAAGTGTCACAGTGACTATGATGTGCTTTCAGGAAGTCAGAAGGGGTGAGAGCCAGGTTTTACTCTTCAATTGCTCTTAAATTAATCTTTACTCTTAAATTAATCCAACAATTAATCCTCATTTATTGGAGCTGTAGATGAAAAGTTCTCTTGGTTTTATTTAAAACAACTCCTCCCATCAAATCTCCCGTTGTTTGCAACTGTGTATCTTCCATGTCTGAATGAGTATCTGAGGGAACAAATGAGTGTCTGAGGATGAAGATGTGTGATTTTTTTTATTTAATTGATGCCTAAAACCTTGAGCCATCATTAGAATGCAACTGTTGATAATAGGATTGGTTTGTTTGAAAAAAACACCCATGGATTTCTGGTTATTATTAACACTTAAAGCAGAAATAATCTGTGCTAGATTCAAATGTTTCCTGGTAGGTATTTTGTTATGTTTTTATTTTGACCTGTGGATTTCAAAGTGGTCAAAAACTCTTGTCCTGAAGGCATAAGAGACCTCTGATAGTTATTCCTTCAGGTCCTTGGTGAAATGTCAATTAAAACATAGAAACCAATGCTTTTAACTAAAGGCCAGAGCAAGATTTGCAGGGCTGTCTTTGAGAAATGTCAGTCTAAATTCTTACCAGTTACTTACACTTTCCCCTTTCTTTTCCAGTTTTAATTTGCCTTTTGTTTGCAGTGACTGAGAATATAAAATATGCTTCAGAAGATACTTTTCCATTTGTTGTAAGAACTCGAATTTGAAGTGCAATTCTGCTCTTTGAAATCTGGTCAGTTTTGCTTGACCTGTTTTCATGAAATGTGGTAAATCAACAGATTGTCCTTTCAACCCAAACCAGTCTGTGGTTCTGTGTTTGTTTTTTTCCACTGTGAACTTCTTGCCTTCTTTCCTGGAAGAGCTCCTTTGACCCTCTTTGAGTTTAATTTCCCCAGCACAACTCTTTTGTGTTGAAGTCAGAAATGGTGAGAGGTGCCAGCAAGTGTGAGATGGGTGACTTTACAGGGGCTTTGTGTGCCTGGGAAGCCACTAAAATGCTGCATTTTTGATGATGCTGGAATGGTGCTTCTAGATCTAGAAGGATGCTAGAAATGCATCCTGTAGGAAAATCATAGAATCCCTGAATGGTTTGGGTTGGTTAATGATCATCCATGCCATGGGCAGGGACACCTTCCACTAGCCCAGGTTGCTCCAAGCCCCGTCCAACCTGACCTTGGACACTTCCAGGGATCCAGGAGCAGCCACAGCTTCTCTGGGCAACCTGGACCAGACCCTTCCATGTATCTCACCTAAATTTCCCCTCTTTCAGTTTGAAGCCATTCCCCCTTGTCCTGTCACTCCAGTTCCTGATGAACAGCCCCCCTCCATCTTCCCTGCAACCCCTTCAGACCCTGGAAGGTGCTGTGAGGTCTCCACACAACCTTCTCCTCTCCAGGCTGAACATTCCCAGCTCTCCCAGCCTGTCTCCACAGGGGAGGTGCTCCAGTCCCCTCAGCAACTTCTGGGCCCTCCTCTGGACTTGCTCCAACAATTCCATGTCCTTGTGATGCTGGGACACCAGAACTGTGCACAGTGACCCGGGTGGGGCCTCACCAGGGCAGAGCACAGGGGGAGAATCACCTCACGAAAATACTGATTTTGAAGTACTTCTTTCCTTTACTGGCACAAATGTGTGCAGATCTGGTTTCTCTTGGATATTTTCAAGTCTTTACAGGAACAGA